TACTTTTACTAAGACAGACCTTCTTATGAAACTCCTTTTTTCTGTTCTGATGAGGTTCACCATTTGTCTGTGATAAAGACCTTCCATCATCATTCACTGTTTCTTCCTCTACATTAAAAACCATGAAAAAAAGACTTGAATGTTCTGAACACAAAGTACATCTGTCTTTGGTAGTTGTCTAAGAAATAAATTCATCATTGCAATTCTTCAGTACACCTATTGTTAGATACACATAAATACAGTAAAACTTATCTAATCTGGACATCACTGGTACCAGAGAAATTGACTGGATTAGACAATATTCCGGATTAGACAACATTTTAAACAATGAAATTTACTGAAAGGGACTTCAAGTTTAGATACTATTAGGCAAGATTTTGGAATACACAACATCTGGATTACACAAGTTTCACTGTATTTTGTGACAATGAACATGGTCAAACACTCATTATAAGACCCTCCCTAACTCACCATCACACCAGTCAGGAAGAGCTGGGGCTGGAAATGTGTTCTCCACTTCATCATATCGACGAAATAACTCTTGTAGATAATCCTGTTTGTAGATTCCTGGAGGTCTTGCACTGGCAAAACACTGGATAGCAGCTTCCACTCTGAAAACAAGGAAATATGCATCTTATTTACAGTTCAGCCTTGATACTTGGAACTAAACAGAACTGACAAAAGATTCTGTAACTTCAAGCATTCAAACTCCAACTCTAGTTGGGACTGTAGCCTCACATGGACATATTCCTGGTATGGGAATTTTAAAGTTCAACTGTGCTCTAAAGGACTTGTCATATGTTTCTCAATTACTTGAAATTAAAAGCATATTATATTCCTCATAATCACTGTTTATAAATTTTGTGTTTTTACTGCAGATATACCGCAGCAATAAACATTACTGATTCAAATAAAAACCCCTCAATTAAAAATCCAAGTTATTAATTATTAGATAGCAATCATGTGATCATGATACGCCATAGGCGACAATGGCTGATCAGCTGTATAGGTTAATCTTAGTGAAATGTATGTGATACGAACTGGTTTTTCTGTATTATGGACAACCAAATCACTGATTTTGTCTGTATGAGGTTTAATATTCAACCATATATGTTTGAACTGTCAGCAAGAAAAAAATGTGAAAAATCTCTAAACATGGTACATTGTATATTAACCTGTTATAAACAGTGATGGTAGCGAGGGAGACATGGCAAAGACAAGGAAACTTGCCTGCAAAATATAATTATTTCATGTGTCACATGTAGTAACCTATTTAATTCTCAAATTTAAAATTACTGCACTTTTTCATTTATTTCATTTTATAATCTTAAATCAAATCCTAATGTAAATAAGCGATTGAATCATCGTTGAAATCAGAAGGGGACTGGGGTCAGGGTAATTAGAATAATACCTGTAGTTTGAAAAGGTGACGGGATCTTTACTCATTACTTTTTCTTCTTTAATCATAAGTTATGATTAAAATTGACAAGCTCTGCTATAAATCAGCAAGCTTTTTCGTGTTTTACAATTTCTATTTTATTTTCTTATTACACCACCATAGTCTGTTAATAATACATGTATTTATAACTTCATCTTTTAATAAATACTTATACTGTATTTAAATTAAAACAAGATCATACTTCTACAGTAATTAAAAAGCATTTAAGATTTTTTGGGGAGGATTTTCCTAGTTATCCCACATTTGTTATTTATAACTTCCCTAAAAGTATGCAGTTTCTCATTTCTCTGTCACTGAATTGTCGCATATGACGTCACAGCAGTATGGCGCTGAAATCCAATTGATATATGCATATCGCCATATTTGAATTTCAACTGTAACTTTCGCTTAAAATATGCTTATGACAATGTATATAGTATTCAGTATTTTTATAAACAAGGTTGTAGATAATATTTTTCATAAAATTACAATTTTTCGAAGACAAGTCCTTTAAGGAATAAAAGCTTTCACTGCTATGAAAACATACAGTTTGAACTTTGGTATATTGAATACCATGGATATGTCAAAGTGAGTTGCAAGTTCCAATCATTTTTTCTTTATATATATACATGTATTAACTTTAATATCTTCAATCCTGAAAATCTTGAAGTTTTTCCATGACCACATATTAAGTTCAAGTTAATTAGGTCTGACTGTATCTGTAAATATTTATGTTTTCTTTCCTAATGTTCATGTCTTACCCCCAGGACAACTGTTCCACAAGATATGATACAATAAGGAATCCTGTCCTGTTGAAGCCGTGTGTACAGTGAACACCTACAAAACCACAAATAACCAGGTTAAAGATAACATGGTCAAGAAACAATAATTTGCCATAGTTTTTGTAAATCCCTCAAAAATTCAAAACAAACAAACAAAACAACAAACAAAAATATGTTAAATCAGTTTTACCTATGATTTCCAGAGGTTTCTGATTGATAAACCTTGCACACAGCTGGATAAACGCCTGTGTTTGTTCTTCAGAAGGAGTTTCACCATGTCTATTATAGAAGGAAAACATGATTCAATTTGAAAAAAAAAAAATCAGAAAACTACAATATCATTAATTTATATGACAATATTCTCAAATTCCAGACATTGCAATAAAAATTGAACTGTAAAAATAAACTTGGAAAAAACTGCTTAATATGTCCTACCCTCTGCACTGCAGTTTGACATATCTGCATTCATACTTTTCCTCTACTTCTTTGCTGTTGTAAAATCTTGTGGTATTCGTCAAATCAACCAGCAATCCCATTTTCACCTAGAAAAGACCGTGGAAATCATTGAAATTATTAAATTAAATTTCACTTTCTTAAAATAACTGCAAATCTCTTGAAACAAAATATTAAAAGCTTTATGAAAAAATTCCACTACAATCTTAACAGTGAGTGATCATGGAATTATGTAGTTTTTAATCATATTACTTTCATAGTTTTCAAGGATCCAAAGAGAAGGTCCAGGTTGAAAACACTGTACTCTGGTATCATGTCATTATAACGATCATCAAGTGGTGTCTTCAGAGGCAGAAACTTATCTACAATTGGAAAGGAACAGTTTAAATCCACAAATAAAATGATTGTATAAAATTTAAAAAAGAAAACATGTTAATGTATAATTGGTAATGTGTTATACATTGACTTTTTAATTTCAAAGGAACTACTCAATTTCATTATGTACCAAAATGTTAGCTTGTAATGTATAATTGGTGATGTGTTATACATTGACTTTTTAATTTCAAAGGAACTACTCAATTTCATTATGTACCAAAATGTTAGCTTGATACCCAAACACTAGCAAAAATGTGCTTGGAAAAAAAGAAAGAAGGTTAGCACAATAAGTGAAACAAGGATTTGCATGCAGTTATTTTTCTATATATATATTTATCTTTTTTTTTTAAATCTGCATAAAAAATAAGAAGGATAACTTTTTTATGACTCACTACTTGATTGCTTAGTTAACCCTGATTCCATTTCATTAAATTAAATGTTTGATCCACTCACTTACATTACTACGTAAGCAAGACATATGAGTGGACCAAACATCTAATTTTCACTAGACTGCTCCTGATTTCAATTAACAAGAGGCACATGGGCCACATTGCTCACCTAAGCACTCTGACTAGAGAAAAGCAGAAATCAGTTTATTATTGAAAATTTTCGAGCCTGACTGGACTGCTGGTGAAAAAAAAATTGTTTGGCACACACTGTGATGAAAATGAATCCACATTATATATTTGAAAGCAATAAATTGTATGTTTGGCAGTAGACCTAGTTTGGTACATGTGGATAAATGTAATTTATATGATGTTCTACTTACCCTTAATAAGCTTTCCTTTCCGAGGACAATTAATCCATCTTGGGGGTGGACCCAATTTCTTATTTCTATTCATAGTGAAAATCAATTCAATCCATGCCCCTGAAATAAATCAAAAGTACATGTACATATAAAATATGGAAAAGCAAAACACACACTATATCTGTAACAATGTTTAATAATTTTAAAAATTGTGAGATCCCTAATACATCTACATGTACAACACAGCCACACCTATCTTGTACAAAATAATCTTTAGAGTAATTAAAAAAATTATATGACCTGCCCAGGAATTTGCCTGACTATCATACATAGTATGTTTGTGGTAAAGCTACTGGTATTTCAGAAATGAGCCATAAAAGAAGACAATAATGATCAAGTCGAAGACTTTATATAATACTGATGAATAATACTTATGAACCTCTATTTTTGATTATCAGGATTTTTATTATAATGTATTCAAGTATAATTACTTATTGTCTTTGTCTTGACCTATTATACAAGGAGAGGACTTCATTTTGACAATAGAATAGGGTTTATACAAGAAGCTGTACAGTGAAACATGATATAAGTTGCATGTGTGACTTAATTTTTCAAAAATTCCTGATTAATGTGATATAACTAAGTCAAACTAAATTACATAGCAATATATGCTTGTATAATATACTTTTAGAGAGGCATTACCTTACATGACTTATAAATGAAATTAAAGCCAAGACACTCACTCTGTTATTACAGTTATGGCTTGAAAAAGTGGAAAAAAAGTTCCCTATAAACCATGTATTTATTATTTTTGTAATCAAAACATCATGTAAACGAATATATATAGCACAAAGTGCTGGGGTTTTCCAAAATTTTGCGAAGATGAAAACTGCCAAAATCACAGATTTTTCCCGTTCTCCATCTTGTTTTGCGATTAGCCCTTTCATATAATAATTCGTTTGTTAAGTATTCCGTATTTTTTACCTTTACGAACCAAAAAAATTAAATTTTGTACTCTAAACAATAAAATTGTAATTAGTTGTTACAAATCTTGCAGGTATGAGCTAGATTGCTGTCTTGTCTTCTGGCTAAGATATTTTACGAATTTATTATTGCACGTGTTATCTACTATCGATTTCAATATGGCAGCGCTCAGGCAAGAAGCAAGTGCATGTGTGGAACGTTAACACAAACAATACATTTCAAGGGTGGTTCTGGGATTTGTATTCAAAGTAAATTATATACATAAGTAGAAGAAGAAAAATGACAAAGTGGAAGAAGAAGCAAAAGTCTCATATTACGGAAAATAGCACGAATAAACTCAAACCAAGAAATAAAAAGAGCATGGTAAACAAATCAAAATGGAAAACTAAATCTAACTCTAAGGAGAAAAGTAACAGACTGGATGGGAAATTAAACAAAAATGAGAAGAAAACATTCAGTAAAAAACGCTCTCACGGTGAAGAGGAGGAGGATATAGAAGTTGTTGGCAATAAACAGCAGAAACAAATTCATGTTCAGGTGCGATACATGTAATTTTATAAGTTTGAGACCAATCACCCTAATGGGATATAATTTATCAAAATACTTAATAAGCAATTAAGGTGTTTACGGTGTGACCATTTGGGCAAGCGCAGTTGTGTATTACTGGATATTCACTTGTAAATAAGATCCACCTCTTCAAACTTAAAAAAAAATAAGATAAAAGAATGAATGACAACTTTGCAAGGGAGATTGGCTAGATTTATGATACATTTACAGATCAAGCTCACACAATGTGGGAACAAATCAATTATGATTCATCAATTGTCACATTCAAATTGGATTCTCAATGAACTTTTCCCTCCCTTTAAAAGCTAAAAAGGAAACTTTTGCAATAGCAATGAACTTTTTCCTCCCTTTAAAAGCTAAAAAGGAAACTTTTGCAGTAGTATAAAAAAACTACATCATTTACATACATAAATATATTCACAGTGTTTTATACAATCTCAAGCTTTAAGTGTTTCAAAATATTACATCCATATATAATCCACAATTTTCTACAAAGTGCTCTTCATCTTCAAGTTTTATTTGCTATTTGACAAAAGAGGCAGTACCTGTTTTCTCTAGGAATACCCTTAAATCGACCATGCTCAATTTCCAAAACAATGAGTAGAGGTTCTTAATTTACAAAGTGATTCTCTAAAATACTTACTGTTTATGACATCTGCATATCTTTCTGGTTCGAAAGTAATTTTAAATTTACAATAAAAGTCTAAAAATGAAGCAGTATTACATTAGTGTATAAGTATTTAAAATCTGATTAAATCTAAAAATAGGATGAGGAAAGCTCCGAATCAGATTCAGAGTTGGAAATGCAAGACACTAGGAAATGGATGACAGAACAGAACAGAAAAAAGAAGAAGTCTGGAGGATTTCAGTCAATGGGTAAATAAACTGTATTCAAGTCATACTTAATATACATGAGGCTGAAGTTAATTGCACTGATAAATTATTTTTAGTTTGTTTTCTACATAAAGGCTAAAATGCCATCAATTGTGTACAAGTAGTATCTGTATTTTTGTACATTAGAATTATATTCATGATTATTTCAGGTCTGTCCCACTCAGTTTACAAGGGTATTATGAGAAAGGGGTACAAAATACCGACCCCTATACAGAGAAAGGTGAGCTAGATTTTGTTCTTGTTTGTTGTTAAACGTCCCTCTCGAGAATTTTTCACTCATATGGAGACGCCACCACTTGCTGGTGGAGAGCTGCAAATTTTGACCTATACTCGGCACTCGGGGCCATTGAGCAGTGAGAGATCTTTTTCATGCCAGCTTCTGCGACATGGGACCTCGGTCTATATGGTCTCATCCGAAGAACCGGTCTCCACGTCCCACAGTGAGATTCAAACCTGTGACATTAGGATCAACTCGTTACTCCTTGACTCTAGAGCAAATGCTCTACCACTGCGCCACATGAGCTAGATTAAGGTGTTTATTATTGGTTGTCGAATCAAATATTAATTGATATGTGTTACTATTTCACCCAATTTTTGACAAACCGAATTTCTCTGCAGTATCTCTATACATTAATTACATAATTTTATGCCTCTTTCATTTGTACCCCTTTTGCCCTCCTTGCAAGTTGGAAATTTAAAACAGGGAATTTTAAACACAACTGATGGGGGAAATAAACATGGGGCTAAAATACCTCTATATACAATAGAAAACAGTCATAAAAGTTGTTATGTATGAGTGGTTTTTAGATGAAATTTTCAAATTGTAACTACAAATGTATATTACTTATAAATTGAAAATTTCAAAAATCTATTTTTGTGAAGTTGTCTATGCTTTTTTTTCCCCTTAATCATTTCCAATGTGAGTCTTGCGTCTTTACATATTATAAGTCTGATACATTTCAGTGATATCCATTTTCCTTGTTCTATGAACTCAGTATTGTTATTTTTAGACTATTCCATTAATCATGGAGGGGAAAGATGTGGTTGCCATGGCTAGAACAGGAAGTGGAAAAACTGCAGCCTTCCTAATTCCGATGTTTGAGAAACTCAAAATCCACACAGCAAAATCAGGAGCCCGAGCTCTCATATTATCCCCAACCAGAGAATTAGCACTACAGACTCTAAAATTTACAAAAGAGGTCAATAGCAATTTTTTTTAAATTTTCAAATTATTAAATCATATTTGGGCCAATTTTGTAAGTTTTACAAAGCACCTTCTTATTTAAGGAATGTAAATGAAGTTAACAAGTATAGTTTTAAGAATCAATCTTCAGTGGGTGCATTCTGTTAATTTTCTAAAAGTTAGTTAAATAAATGTCACATATTTTGCATGTTTGATTAAACACCTATTATATAAATATGTACTGGTATTTAAAAGTAACAATTTGTGGTGTCTGTGTTACAGCTAGGGAAATACACAGGACTGAGGGCCGCTGTGGTTCTTGGAGGAGATAAGTAGGTTTATATATGTACCTATTCAGAGACTCTGATAGGCCTACTTGTTAAAATCAGATATTATCAACAGCAAAAAAAAGTTCTTCTAAAAGAAAAAATATAACTGTAAACCAACTTTTATTTGCAAGCAAGAAATATCTGCAAGTTTTGGGATATTCTTTCATTTGCAAATATTTCTTGTCTCGAACCAATTATTCACCTATGTATTTATGTAGAATGTTGCCTCAGTTGTGAACATTAGTAGTCGCAGATAGATTCCAAACTGAAGTATGGTTAACAGTATCTAAAATTTTTGCAGGATGGATGACCAGTTTGCTGCACTGCATGAAAATCCTGATATGTGAGTACAATATTGTGCACTGTGACCTATTACCCCTGGTACATGTAATATAGATGGTTGTACACATTGTGGTGGGTTTATTTTAATTACCATTTTAGAGTCATAGCCACACCTGGTCGTCTGTTACATGTTTTGGTTGAGATGGAGAAGAAACTCAAGTCTGTGGAGTATGTGGTATTTGATGAAGCAGACAGGTATTTATTATCAGAAACATAATACTATTTTGGTAGAATTTTTAGCAAGGATTCATTTTTGGTATTATTTGTGAGAATGTTGAGGTTGCTTAAATTGAACATCGCAACAAATTAATTCTGTATTGGTGGAAAGAGTCTTTTTTTTGCATTTTAATAAAATTTCTAGCTTTCTTCTAACTAAAAATACATGAAGATACTGATTTTTAAGGAGAAATGTCAAACTTGGAATGTTTTTGTCACTACTCATGCTTAATATTGCCCTGTGATCATGCCTAATGTTGCTGTTGGTCCTTTTAATATCACTTTTTAGCTGTAATCATATCCTGTAGGTTGTTTGAGATGGGCTTTCAGGAACAGCTGAATGAGATCATCCACAGACTACCAGAGTCCAGACAAACAGTGTTGTTCTCGGCTACATTACCTAAGCTACTGGTAGAGTTTGCTAAAGCTGGCCTTCATGATCCCACACTACTCAGACTAGATGTAGAAACCAAACTCAGTGAGCAGCTAAAGGTAATACAGTCAAACCTTGTTATCTCAAACTTGATAGGACTGTGGAAAAACTTCAATATATACAAGGGTTTGAGATATTGAGGGTAAAATTAAGAGAGATAAAGTGATTGGGACTTCCAGATAAATTTGACATACCCATTATATAGTATTCAAGATATCTGTGTGTAAGAAACCGAAGTTCAACTTTATTTTCATGTTTCAGCATTAGTAATTGTAAATGTGAAATAAAAATTTCATCTCCTTTTTATGAATGTACATAGTGAAGATTTCAGTTTTCCTATACATGTACCTGTATATGAAGAAGAGAAATAATTTATGAAGTTGGATATCCTTTCAAAAAATTTTCACTGGTTGTTGAAATATAGAAGTACTCCAAGAAGTTTTTCTTGTGAAACTTTGCAGCAATCTTTCTTCCGCTGTCGTGAAGAGGATAAACCAGCGATACTGTTGTACATACTTAAACATCTCATCGACCCAGAGCAACAGTCTGTTGTATTTGCTGCAACCAAACATCATGTGGAGTACCTACATATGGTTTGGAATTTCTTCATCACTTGATATGTAGTGGCCCTGTTCATCTTCTTAGACAAAAATTTAAAGGAAGTTTTATTTCAAATACTTATGACATTTCAGATTTTGTCCTGTGCTGGAATTAGTTCCACCTATATATACAGCTCATTAGATCCTGCTGCTCGTAAAATCAATGTGGCCAAGTTCCAGCATAAAAAGGTAAAGGTCCTTATTGTGACTGACCTTGCGGCTAGAGGGATTGACATACCACTACTGGACAATGTCATCAATGTGAACTTCCCTGCTAAATCTAAGCTGTTTGTGCATAGAGTGGGTTAGTACTGCTTCATTCTGTTTACCTCCATGCTTTGGTGTGTATTCATAGCTAAATTACTCCTACAATCCTGATTTAATTCATTTTTCTGATTGTTTTAATTATGAAATATTGACCACTACAGGAAGAGTAGCCAGGGCTGGCAGGGAGGGTTACGCTTTCTCTCTTGTGGCTCAGGATGAAGTCCCATTTCTTCTGGACTTGTTTGTTTTCCTAGGGAGGTCACTGATTCTAGCATCCTCACACAAAATCTTAACAGGTCAGATTCAAATTAAGTCTAAAATCTCTTTCTGTACATTTAAATTTATTGTGTATGAATATTTGTCTTGTTTGTAATGTTAAATAAATAATCACTTACATTAATTTTTGCTTGTACATTCTTTGTTTTAATACAACTAGATGATCTTTCAGATAAGGATGGTGTACTGGGAGATGTTCCACAACTGGTTATTGATGAAATGGAGGAACAACTGAGACTTTGGCACACTGATCAAATTGATTTGGTGAGGAAAAAAAAATCTATAAAATGACAATTTTGGGATTGTAACCTCATTGTTTTGTTCAAAAACTGTAGACATTTACAGAAATCAATAAGTGATGGCTCAGGTATTGCCATTCTTAATGAGCATCTATTTTCAAATGAAGAATGCATTCACATTAGATAAGCTGATTAATAGTCTCAAATGACATATATATTAAACTGACTTTTTATTTAGGTAAATATGAAGAAGGTCATTGGAAATGCCTTGAAGAAGTACCTGAAGTCACGCCCTTTGCCGGCAAAGGAGTCAATCAAACGATATAAACAGATTCTTCAGGCCTCTGGCAGCATAGGAATACACCCTGTGTTTGGTAAATTGTACTGTTACTCACACTGAAATATTGACAAATAACTAGATGATCTGAAATAATTTACTATATACATGTACTGCACATTTATTTGGGCTTATGGTTTAGAGAACTGTAAAACAGACCTTTAACAGCATTTTTAAATATGTGGGATGAACATTCTTAATAAAATACATAGGATGGACAATCTTAATTTAATACATGGGATGAATTCTTAATTACACTGAAGGGACTTTATACAAGGGGGTCACACATGTTCAGCAGTGCTAACATACTATACTCACATATTGCTATGGTCTGAAATAATTAGTAAATGATATGCATGGATATTAAGTTCTTTGTAAGATTCATTGATATAAGTTATGTGAATTTTCATAAAAATGCTAGTGTATGTTATCCATGTAATTGTACACGTATTTTTAATAATTTGTAGCATCTGAATACAGCACAGAGGAACAGGAGAGAAACAGTCTACTGAATGCTCTCAAGTCTTACAAGGGACACACTGTGAGTGTTTCAGTGTTTGATTTCTTTAATGTATGTATAATGGAAGGTTCATTATTTTTTCATACTGTTGGTTAACAGTAAACATCTTTTTAATGTGAGAGCTTTTTGTCTGACCATAGGCATTTAAAAGATACATGTACATAATTGTATGAAAGCAGTCATCAAATGTTAAAACATGTAGCATCATCATATTAAATCAGTAAATAAGCTTGTTTTTCCTCAATATAACAGCTATAAATCTATTGCAATATTTATTTAAAGATGATTTGACCAATTAACTTTGATGTAAGTTTTTATTAAATTGGAAATCCAGACAATTTTTGAGACCAATACATCATCCAAGAACAGAGGCTTTGATGTGATGAAGCAGAAGAGAGCCTTTCATCAGACAACCATTCATAAAAGAAATGAGCAGATGTCAGAATCCATGGAGATGGAAGCAGACGACAGTGATGGAGCAGAGTCAGAGCAAGAGATGGCAGATGAGGACAATGTACAGGTACATGTGTACCAGAATTCTTTAGAGTTATTCCCCTTTTAACTAAATGTGTTGCCAGTTTTCCATTGACATTTAATAAAAATTTACATGTATAGTATTTTAATACATGATCAAAGTCTTGTTTATCTTTTGAATGTCCCAGTAGAGCAATGGTAGCACATTTGCTTCTTCACCAATGCCCCAGATTCAATCCCAGGATTGAGCAGGGTGGTATTTAGAAAGGGTATGGTGGACCCCCTGCTCAGACACAGGGTTTTTTCTCTCCAGATACTACAGCTTTCTCCCATTCTATGACCCCTTATGCTAATTTATAAACAAATGAGAGGGTTCACAGAAAGTTTTCAAATTTTGTGAACTGGTCATCATTTTGATGACAAAATGCTTATATTGAAAATTTTGTGTTTATTTTCTATGATTTGAAAAGGAAACATTCCAAACTGTCATAGGAGGGAAACGAAAGGCCAGCAACAGGGTGTTTGATCCTGAGAGAAAAAAGAAACATAAAAGAGAAAACATAAGAGATGAAGAAAATTACTTGCATTATCGTCCCAAAGATTTTCAGTCTGAGCTTGGGTAAATTAGATGAAGCCATATACATGTATAAACTAAAGATACAGATTACATTGTACTAATTGTAATAAAAAAATAAAAAAAGGATTTAGTTAAATTTTCATGTTTGTAGATCTAATTTTGAATAAATTTGAAGAAAACAAATTCGAGATCACTACATGTATGCAGTGTATTTGGGTATAAATGCTTACATTCTACTTTTTTAAAGATTGAGTCTGGGAACTTCTTTTGACAAGGAGGCATCAGGAGCCATGTTAGATTTGTGTGACGAGATTAACAAAGCCAAAACTACAGCTCCTACAAGATGGTGAGTTGTCAGATTTTAACAATTTTTTTTTCAGAATTTTTTTTTTTAAGTGTTCATTTCATGAATGATAGAAATATACACTCTACACTTTTTTTAGGGATAGAAAGAAGAAGAAATTTGTCAGCACTAATGAACAGGCAGCAAACAAGAAGAAGATCAGAACAGAGAGTGGGGCGCTAATATCAGCCTCGTACAAATCTCGGGCATATCCTTAATAGCTGTTCAATCATGTTCATGTTCTTGTTAAGTTTTCAAAATGAATACCAACAGTGTCATCATAGAAAACTGTAAAACACTGAAATCTTAAAAATAGTGCATGAATTTTATAACTTCAATGAAGAATTGGTTGAAGAAGCAAATTCAATTGAAAAAAAACTAACTAGGGTATTTCATTCTTTCTCACAATGATTTCAAGCCATTTTCAGATAGCCATTTTGATTCTGAAAGAATTTAAATGTACTTGTTTTAAGTTTGAAATTGCTTCCTTTACTGTTGCTTACTTACAAAGACTGGCTAAATAGAAACAAAATGGCTACAGCTAATGAGAGTGGAGATGAAGAGGAAGAAATTAGCAATAAGAAGGGGGAACCAGACAACAGCTACAGGTTAAAGGTCATAGGAACCAAGCGAAGAAACTGTAAGTCGAAAAAAGAAATAGTCATTTTATAATTAGTTGAGACAAAATTTGTTTTAAAAGTACATGTATTTCGTCAGTGTAATAGACAAACTATTATGTATCTACTGTATATGAACAAACAATTACAGTACTTGTGAGTAATAAGGATTTTTTTCATTATCACAGGGCATACAAAAGTCAAAGAAGATAACAACAAGAAAGGAAATCGAGGAGAGTTGAAGCACCCAGAGCAAATCCTCAAACAGCGAAAGCTGAAAGCCAAAAAACAAGCATTTCAGAAAAACCGACACAAACAAAAACAGTCTCGCAGAAACTTCAAAGCTCAGAGAGCTAAAAAGAAACATTGAGAGCAAGCATTATTTGTGTTTTGTTGTTATCGTATTAAAAGTTTGGCATACCCACTACAATATTTTCTGCATTAGTTAGTTATCAATTTACGCACAGTATACATAAGTATTTCATTTTAATGAACTTCAAGAAAAGATCTTCCAGTTGATGTGTCTTGAAATGGGAGAAATTGATCTAAGCATTATAGTCCAAATGATACATGTAATAATGGGATATTTGAAAATTGTCTGACAAACAGTATTTCTATGAACCAGTCGGTATTACATGTATTACAAGTGTGTCAATATAAGTATATGCATTATATCTAGCCTTTTTAAATGATTGATATCATGTTTCAGGATATTCAAGCTGGGGAATCTAGTAAATGCATATCTAGCCCTCTCTCACCATAGCTCTGAAGATAAAGATTTCATATAAATATAAAAAATGCAATCTATGGGTATTAAATGCTGATTTTATGTGGGACATCTTTTTTGAAGAAGATAAACTTGACATGATTGATAGCAGGTGAAATTCACTGAAGAATATTTAATTAATTCTCACAGAAATGCAACTTTTTCTTAAGTACAGCTCAAACAAGTGGCAATTTAAATTATGGAGAACAATGAATATACTTACCGGTAAACAAGTGCCCCCTTACACAGATATGATCATCTAGTTGGAATGCAGATGTTTACATGAAGTACATGTTCTGTGCCATACAGGCCACTAATGGAAGGTGAACAGAGCACCAGTGAGATGTTTTATTTGTTACAAGTTTCCCATTTAAGTACATGTATGCCTATAATAGCATTTTAATATTTTGATTCAACTAACTTTAAGGAAAACTTAAATACCCACATGTTCAAAAATTACTTCTTGGGTATTGAAGTTAAAAACTACTTTTAACCTAGCTTCCTTTAAATCCATCACTCTTTCTCACTTATTTGGATCATAAGCTCAAAAGAGATTTTTTGATCACTGGATACCCAGCAGCCATCTATCTGTCTGATTGTCTGGTCTGTCTATCAATCCTATCTGTAAACTTTACAAATTTTTTACTTCTTCCATATATAGAACTACCCGGACAATTTCAACAATAGTTCATCTTTGGGTAAAGAGAATTCAAAATTGTTTTAATAAATGGTCATATATGCCTCTTCTGAGAGGAGATAATTTAGAAAAGGCAAAAATAGGATGGTTTCATTTGAAAATCAATCCACTAAACCAGAAAAGATGAAAGTTACATCATAACATGAAAGTTTCAAAACGGATTCTTACTTATTCAAATGGTATATCCCCTGGGGATATGGAAGTGCTATAATAAAGTACATGTATATTTAAAAAATTTGAGTAAAAAAGAATACGTTTAAAGAAATTTTAAAAATTTTTTTTATCGTAGCGGGGCAACATTAGTTCATATCCATATGCAGACATTCCCAGACCATGTTGATCTAAGTGAGTTCAGATTATGAACCCCCAGGCTAATAGATGAATTTCACATTTACGAAAGTTATTTCCCTTTGTGGGGTCAATCTGGGGTCAACTGGCGTAAGACACTGTTTTCCCTCTATAACAGTACCAACTTTTTGGGACAGTATCTCGCAAATTAAATCCGTGTGAATATGTTCATTATGTTTTTCATGTTGCCCCATACTAAGGTAATTCAGGAACGGGTCAAAATTATCCAATTCCGTTTGAAGGTTGAAAATAATTACAGGTAAGTTACAAAGGATATAGGCCTAGTGACAAAAATGAGTGTTACGCCGACAACGGGAGATAACTCTTAAGAATGTGAAATTCGTCTATTATAATGAGCAAAACTGGGATAAGATTTTACATTATCCATCAGAAAGGTCATCTTCTACAGAACAGGAACACTATAAAGTCATTTTGTTATTCACTTGATATTATTGATGAAGAGTTAAGGCCAGGTACGGTCCATAATGTGGTCTTAACTTTTTAAATGGGAATGAAGAGGGAAAAACAGCAGGAGGTGACTCAGGTGAGCGTTGTGGCCCTTGGCCTCTTTTTTTTCTTTTATGCAACCTCATTACCAGTTTCTCCAATAAATTTATGAAAAACCTTAGTATACATTTGACATAAGAATGTTAGGTTTGTATGTAGCGCAAACAATGAGCGCCATACAATGCGTACTTGTGTATTTTTCCTCGGATGCGATCACGCATCAATAATGCGGTCGCATTACAGATTGTCAACACATGCGCAATATTGCAGTCGGCCATTTTAATTTTAAACGATTAAAAATATATTTAGAAATCGATCATTTTTAATGGATAGGCCTGAGTGCCATATTGAATCTTTTATCATTATGCATAAATAGGATTAAATCATTGTTTATTTATATAGGTAAGTATATTCCCCTTTAGATGTCTGTGAGCAGTATGGGACACCTGCAGTAAACAGGGACACTGTTGTTTTGATTTGTTCAGCTGATTCGTCGTAAAGTGAATGACACTAACCAGTATTTCAATCAGGCGATACCTTTCATGATGTTTGTTTTCACGGACTGGCATTTTGAACGTGTCTTCTGCGAAGTCCGCGTTTACAATTTACTGTCAAATATTAACCGCAGGCTGTTTCATTTTTATGGCCATTAAAAGTAGGTCATCAGTTATATACTGAACAGAAGTTTTCCGTAACAGCTGTTGATAATGGCTTTGATGGAGTGTAATATAATCGATAATTTATTTTGTACAATAATAATGGGTGAATTGTTTTGATGTTCCAGTTTGCAGTCAACATGCAGAACTTTCTGAACCTTGGGATTGGATAACGGAATTGTAGTGCTGAACTATGGATCCTTCAAGTGGAGGCCAGAATGCTATGTCTAATGACCCGAGTCTGTATGGTCAACAAACTGCCTTGGCCAGTGCTGGGATGTACAATCAGATGATGATGGGTGGGTACAGCGCAAACTCGGGGTCTGGAGTGGAAGGATTATCCGTGCAGTGTGATATGGTGAATTCACAAGTGAATGTTTTACCATCCATGGGAACATTTATCGGTCAGCCGAGTTATTCTAACTGTCTTACAATGCAAGGCCAACAATCTCCACATATAGCACGACTGGGTATGCAGAACCTCTCAGCTTATCCCAACATGGCACAGAATGTTTGCGTTCCATCAAATAACACACTACCTAGTTTTGGACATTGCTTTTTAACCCCATCTTTCAATCAACAGCAGACACAGCTTACTCAACAAGTTTTTAACACAAACCAAGATAGAATGTCCGGTGGATTTCATGTGATTTCTAACCATATGCCAAGTATGGCAATGACTATGTCATCAACTGCAAATCCAATATATATGTCTGGTACTACTTTTATAAATAATAGTGCTTATGTTCCAAAATCTAGTGTTACTGAAAGTGCGAGTGCATCAATAGCCAGTTCAGAGAGTAAGCAGATTCAAAGTACAAGTGTTTACAATGTGATCTCAAGCATGCCACAGAAGACATTTCCTCAGAGACAGAAATCCCGAGAGTCGGTAGAAGAAAATGTAGTCTCTTCAACATGTGCAACATTAACTTCTCCTGTTGTTCCAGTACCACCTGCATCGGAGGTTCTATCTCAAAACCAGATGGATTTGACTAAAACTCTTCATCAAAATGTGAATATAAAACCAAGTGAAGGAGCGCTGCAGCATATCCCGCCAAAAGGGGGTGTGAACAAAGCATGTGACAAAATTCCAGAGCAAGAGTTTATCCCCAAAACAGATCAGACATCTAGTCTAAAAGAAGACACAGCTCAGGTTGTCGTCCCTTTGGGTTGGAGAAGAGAAAAAAAAGATGGTGCTATTGTATATTACAGGTATGAAAGGGGGAAAATGTGATAAAGTGTAATAGCTTAATAGGTGCTATTTGATTGGATTGCAATACAAAATCCATTTTATAGATGGATAATGTGATTAATGTCTGTCTGTCAATCTGTCCTTGGATCTGATTGTCTGCATCAACATTTTGTTTAGCAGTTGTGTTTAGCTCTGTTGTGGATAATTTTAAATTTGCAGCAGATAAATCTTAGGAAGAGGGCTAAAATAGGCTTTGCCTGCCACCCAGTCCCTTTCACTTTTTGTGAATAAAATTATGTATAAATTTAAATAAATATTAGCTTTAGACATCTATATGGTAATCTGGATGAGATGTTTAAAGTAATTAAATATGTCCTTGACTTGATGTTTGGCCTTGACTTTGGTTAAAAAAAAATACTCTTTCTTTTAAGGATTACATATTCTTAAAATCCTCTTCTTACATCACATTTGGTTAAGTTTAGATAGAAAGAAAAGTATTTTTTGATTATCATCATGGGAGCATAACTTTGTTATTTAAATTTGAAATTAATTTAAAAAAAAATTCTGATTAGGCCAACAAAAAAAAAAATTGTTTGTTTCCTTTAACTGGGGCTGGGTATTGGCAGGAAATTCGTATTGATATATATTTTTAACTGTATTGTGATATATGTATTGCATTATTTCTAATGATAGTTAAAAGTCTCTTTTCCTATTTTATTACCTCCATCTATAAGCAGAATGTGTTACAAAACGGTTCTTGTTGATTTCACTATACAGTTTTGGAACAAAATGCAACCACACAACAGCAACCTTACCGTTTGGTACTATTGAAAACATTCCTTTAAATTTCATATTTTATGAAATCTAAAGCCCAAGCAGCTTGCCGGTATACAGTCAGGGGTGAGACTGAAATCTGTCATTTTTAAAATGACGATTTTTAGTCACAAAGTAAAATTTTTAGCATGACTTAAACTCGTCATTTTTAAGAAAATGACGAAAAACAGTCATAAAAATTTAGAGTGTTTCTAGAATATCGGGTTACCTCTCTTTGAAAAATGTTAGATCCACCAACCGAAAAAAGGACAAAAAACATCATAAACAAACTTCATTTCTCTAATACAGTTGACTACAATACTGGTTATGTTGACAGTACAAATTTCCCAAGCAAAAATAAAAGTGGAAGAGTTAAATTTGTCAATTTATTTGCATTAAATAGGAAAGAATACGAAAATGATGATATTCCGTCTTTTTTTCAAAATGGAGGGTATGGGCGCACTGAAATATCTCGCTTGCAGGGCGCACTACTTTTTTATGGCTTTAACTTTTTTTCGAGACTTTTCTCTACAAGTATGTATTCTTTCAGACGGTGTACTATATGTTTTTATAGGGCTGAAAGACATGTAAAAATGGCGAATTAGTTTTACCAAAATTCGACATTTAACCGCTAAATAATAACTTTCACTTTACATGTTAATGTTCTAACGCACGTGGTCGGCAGTAATTAGTGACCCGGATGAAATGAAACTTGCGTAAACACTGTTCTTGTAGCGTAACCAGGAAAGAAGAATTAAGTTGAAAAAGAAAATATGACGATAGTAAGTCATATTGACAAAATTGACGAAAATACGTAGTTAGTAAATATGACGATTATCCATCATTTTTCAGAAATGATGGATTTCAGTCTCACCCCTGACTGGTATATCAGTACTGGAAAAAAGTATCGCAATACAATATTTTTTGTGAATGAATCACAATATACTGGAATTTTGATATTATTGAGCAGTCCTACCTGTAACACTCCAAAAAAAATTAGGGTAGGTAGGGTGCAGATTTGGGGGTGGGGGGGGGGGTGGGTGGGGCTAATGTATGATCTCACTAAGTATCCAGTTTAAACTTTAAAGAATTCAATTTTGCTTTCCATTTCTATGATATCAAAGTCTAGTTCTATTTTATTGTGAGGAATGTTTGTATAAAGTGTAGAAAATCGTACTTTTGATGTTACAGACTTTAGAAAAATTTGGTGATTTTAAATGTTCTAAAAGTTCTTTGGAGTTTTTGAGACTTTAATGCCATATCTAATTGCTGAGAAACAAGAATTACTTAAAATTTGTTATTGATGACCATCACTAGTTTATAAATGATCAATGATTAATTAAAAATTGATGAATTTTGAAGTAATCTTTCTTCCCTCTCCCAAGAAGAATGAATGTTAAATATTAACAAAGTTGAAATATTAATTGTTCTGTTGTCTTTAAGAATGAAGTCATATAAAATTGAAAGACATCTATGTCACATATTCTTCATACCTGGTGTTTGTTGACTTTCAACTTTGACCTTTGAGTTTGTAAGGAAACTTAGTGAGGGGATGCATCTCTCCCATTTCTTTCTTCATTGAAAAGGAAATTTAGGACTTATCAAAACAGTGACATTTTATATCATTGAATTGTAAAATCTGCCTGTATGAATATTGTTTTTAGTGATTTCTTGTTTTTTTTTTTTTAGAATCGATTTTGAAAGTCTTTTTCTGTAAACTGTTTTTAATTAATGTTAATTAATCATGTTAATAGTTTTTATCCTTCAATAAGTTTAGATTTTGTAGCATCAGCATGAAGAGAAATTAAGATTTCATATAAAGTTTCACACAGAAATATTTTATTTTGGAGTAAGACTTTTTAAAATTTTTATTTCAGTCCAAGTAGTGTTCCATTGTGTTCAGTGGAAGAAATTACCCAGTATTTACTGTCAGACTCCACGTGTAAGTGTGGTTTGGAATGCCCTGTGATTGTTAGTAAGACATTTAATTTTGATATATCAGTGGACTCTAAGGCCTGGAGTCTAGACATGACCAAGTCCTCGGAGGACCTCATGAATCTCTGTAACCACAGACGTAAAATTATCAACATGGCTACTGCATTCCATGGCTCTATGCTGACCGGTGTGGAGGACGTGGGGAGTAGTAATCTCCAGGGCTCAAAGTCAACTGATAGTAAGTCACTATAGTGTAATTTATCCATTTATTTTAAAAATGTCAATCAGTTAATTATTGAGCTAATAAGTGAAAATATAAAAGGTATACATGGTATACAGAGGATATTCAATATTTTGTAGTTGGATATGGAATTTATTTCATAAGTGGGACAGGATTTTTTTTATATTTTCACGGGTGCGAAGCATGAGTGAAATAAATTCCATATCCAACTACAAAACATTGAATTTTCTGTTGATTACATTTTCTTTGATTTTCCCCTTTGTCTCTATCTTTTCTTAACACAGAGTCATAGGCTGTGACGTCACAGTTTAGCAGTTGAGATGTTATAGCTTAGAAGTTGTGAGACTGAAAACATTGTAACATGGATTTTAGCAAAATATTTGGGGGGAAATTGGCAGTTTAGTCTCTATCAAGATGGTTTAGTTACTATATCTTATTAAAGGCCAGAAATTATTTTTTACTAACTTTGATATCCTTTCACACTGTGAGATAATATCACTTTGGTATCCTTTCACACTGTGAGAGAATATCACTTTTATTCAATAAATGAATCACAGTATTTCACGGTTGAAAATGTAATAAATATGTGTATTTCATGACAGTAGAACTTGGTTATAGCAAAGTCCTTGGGACCTGTGAATTTACTTCGCTATATCTTAATTCGTTATATCCGTATAACAAACTCCTCAATATATGTATATCGTGAATTCACAATATATAGTAAAACTCGGTTATAGGGAAGTCCTGGGGACCCGTGAATTTACTTTGCTATATTCGTAAATCGCTATATCCTTACAACGAATTCCTTAAAGTATAAAAAGCAAATTCACTGTATAGATTTTTGTTCTTCAAGCATGACAATGACAGATGTATTTACTAGGGAATTATGAAAAACAGAGGTTACCTAGGAGTTCAAAAGTTCTCGTATGAAATCAATTTCAGCTATGAATACTTAAAAATATATTGTTGAAGTTTAATATTCTAAAATTGAGGTTTTCAAAAAAATTTGTTATAAAAGATGTAAATTTCTTTTTTTTAACCTCTAACCTCATTAACCTTAACCTCTGACATACAATCAGTTCGCTATATCTGTAAATTCGCTATATCTATGTTAATTATATCTGTAAAATTTTACAAGGAATCGCCAGGGATTCAAAATATACTTCGCTATATCAGTGTTCATACTAAACAAGTTTTACTGTACATTGTACATGTTTTCCCTCAAGTATGACTACCAAATATATTCAGGGCAGTATTAAATTAAAAAAAAAACTTACCTTTGGGTAATTAAGTTTTTGACATATTGAATTTCAAATATAATTACTGAAGAAAAATTTGTTTAAAAAGATGTTGTTTTTTTTTTAAAAGCTCTATGGGATATAAAATCAGTTTTCTATATTCATAAATTAGCTATACATATCAGAGTTCATTATATCCATAAAATTTTATAAAGAATTGTCAAAAATTTTGCTGGGTATCAAAAAAAGTTGCTATATCTGTAAATATGCTATATCCATGTTTGTTCTAAGTAACTACATGTTTCAGTGTTTGCATCTCTATTGTATGATGAAACATGTTCTTATTTTCTGCTTGTAATTATGCCCCAGGATCGAAAGATCCCGGGGGTATATTGTTTTTGTCCTGTCTGTCTGTTTGTCTGTTTATCTGTTTGTCCGTTTGTCTGTTTGTCTGTCTGTCTGTTGTCAACTTTAACCTTGCCCATAACTTTTGATTGGTTGGAGCTATGACTTTCATATTTCACATGTGTATTCCTTGTGACAAGACCTTTCTTTGGGTACCATCATATTTGACCTTTTGACCTTGACCTTGGAGTTTGACCCACTTTTGCAAAATTTTATGAGACTTTAACCTTGGCCATAACTTCTGAACAGTTTGTGCTTGGGGTTTCAAACTACACATGTGTATTCTTTGTTACAAGGCATTCCTTTGGATACCAACAACTTTGACCTTTTGACCTTGACCTTGGAGTTTGACCTACTTTTGAAAAACTTTAACCTTGGCCATAACTTTTGAACAGTTGGTGCTTAGGGTTTCAAACTTCACATGTGTATTCCTTGTGACAAGACCTTCCTCTGGATATCAACCACTTTGACCCTTTGACCTTGACCTAGGAGTTTGACCTACTTTTGAAAAACTTTAACCTTGGCCATAACTTTTGAATGGTTGGTGCTAGGGCTTTCATACTTCACATATGTAATCCTTGTGACAAGATCTTCCTTTGGATACCAACCACTTTGACCTTGACCTTGATGTTTGACTTTTATTTAAAAAACTTTAACCTTCGCCATAACTTTTGAACAGTTGTATCTAGGTCTTTCAAATTTCACAGGTGTATTCCTCGAGACAAGACCTTTCTTTTGGTATCAACATTTTTTATCTTTTGGCCTGGATTTTGACTTGCATTTGAAGAGACTTTAACCTTCGCCATAAGCTGCCATACGGGGGCATCAGTGTTTCACAAACACATCTTGTTTTTAATTTAGTTTTAATATCAAAATAGTGATGTTTTTTTCTCATTTCCTCCTCAGTAACTACTGGAACGGTAATGCTGGGATTAGGTTGATTTGATAACCCCCCACCCCTACCCTGACCCCACCCCCCAAACAGTGAAATGTTACTTGCATTGAAATATTGATGTTCCACATGACTCATACTTTATTGGAAATATAAATAACATATATAAAAAAAAATATATAAAATATATATAAAAGCAAGCATTGCTCAAAATGTCTTAATTTGTTAATTTATGATTATGCTAAAAAAATTGATAGGAAGAATGCACTAAATTTTGAGTGTGTTAATTTGATAATTTATGTACATTATTAGTATTATGCAGAATGTATTAAAATTGCAAACATCATGATCATATTGTCCAAACTATAAATTTGTTTTTAATTCTGTAAAAAAAAAAAAAAAACCTTGTTTCCAATCATCATGATGTGAAACATATGGTGTTCTGAATGAGAAGTGCAAAGGCTGCATTGTTGTTTGGGAGGATTTCAGTAAGACTTAAACTGTCAGTTCTGAAACAAAGTTGTTCGAGAAAAATTCAAAATTTACAGTTAAGCAAATCTATAGATATAAGATTTTCCTGTTCAATATAAATTTGAGGACTTTCTAACTTGTCCAAATAAAAAAAAAAAAAAGAAAGAAAGAAAAAAAACAACTTATAGGCTATTCATTGTTTTTTTTTTTAAACAAATACATACCCCCCCCCCCCTTCTAAAAAAAAAACCCTGAAATTTACTTCTGTGTTCCTTTCACAATACATTTTCATATCAAATTTTGTAATATTCATTTTTATAAGGTATTTTTAGCAGTTTTTTTTTTCATACTACAGCTTTATTACCATATCTTGATTTATGAAAAAGTCTACATAATGTAAAACTGGTATTATTTTGTTGAATATATATGAAATTATGTCCTATCTTTATCTAATTATAAAATATTTTGTCACCAAACTACTGTTTTGATTGTTTTCAAGTTACAAGGTGAGAAAAAATGATTTTAAGAAACTACTTTTGTATTCATATTATATTATTTACTTTTTTCCTGTCTAAGCCTATACAGTTGTCAAGTACAATATTTCCCAAATAGAAATTTTTGTTGGATTGGTTTGTTGGATTGGCAGTATAGTATTCCTTTATGGTCTATGCTGTCCCAGTGACCTGATATTCCGTGTGTGTGTCTTCATCCCCTTTAGTGTCCTCTACTTTTTCTCGGATTGTAATTGCTTCTTTCATTGTGTAACACATGCATTGCTGGTTTATCCAGCTTAACATCTTGTACAGTGGCAATTTGAGGCCTTAGATTAGACACATTACCTGTTAGGTATCAGTCAACTTGTTATTTATGTAGTAAGGGATAGCATTGCACCTGCTTTGAGCTAGATGCAGATTTGATCAAGTATCATATATTTTACATGGGAGAGAGAGTTCCACATTTATTCACCATAAAAAAGAAAATTTTAGCTTTCTAGTTTTTCATTATGGACCAGATTGATGTATAATTTGATTTTATGAATTTTATTTAAAAAAAAAAAAACTTACTAATCTGTAGGATATTTTGAAAGTGATAAAACAAGTTATTCCATTATTTGGTTCTATTTCAGAAACTAAAAGCAAAAAGAAACGAAGCAGAGCTGGTAGCTACAGTACACCTTATGACAGAGTCCGTGTAGCTGACCTTATAGCAGAGAGGGATAGACTACGGTCTGAGGAGGAAACTCTGGCCAGGCAATCTAATAAGGAGTCCAGTGACAAGCCAGGCATGACCAATGTTGGTGTCCAGTCTCCACTGGACCTTGCAAAATCACCACCTCCTAACAGTTCCAAGGCAGGCTTACTGTCTCCTACAATACCCCAAACAAACCCTCTTCAACCTCGACTCCAGGCTGTGTCAGATGTATCACAGTTTTATCCTCCGCATTTATCTTCCATGCAGTCTGTTGGAATGTTACCAAACACTTACACACAAACAATAGCTGATGCCATGAATGCTGCTAGAAGCAGCAATGTTCAGTTGCCAAATCAGTCTCCAGCATATTACACCACAGGGAGTGTTCATCCTCAACCAATGGGTAATCTCCCTCCTTTAGGAAGCCCTCCCATGGGCCCCCATGGTTTCAGCATGTTTTCTAATACTGGCTTTGGGTTGCAGCATGGTTACATGGATAAAAGAGGTAACACTTCCTATCCCATGCCCTATACCAAACCCTCAATGTACAGATTCACAAACCCTGCACTCTCAGACCTTATTGACCCAGCTTCATGGACAGAAAAAAAGAAACCAAGACCTAAAAAACCAAGGGCTAAAAAAGATAAAAAGAAAACAACCTCTGTGTTTGAAAGTGGCACACCACCTCCAAATGTGGATGTGAGTGTACTCAAAGATCAAGGACATGGACCAATACCAAAGGTCAAAACCTCTACTCCCTCCAGTCAGTTTCTAGATAACCCAACAGGGTATTTAGCCGACCAGACATCTATGATAAAGACTTCTCTAGCATCTAGCTGTCAGGATTCAAAAGAAAACCCCAGCACATCCCGAGTTTCTGGTGCATTCCCTAAGTCTAGTTCTTCCAGCTTTGGAAGTGCTAGTGACAATCTTGATGTTAGTACAAATGTGGTGGTTCACACGTCTCAGACAGAGAGACCAGACCTGAGTATATCTATAACAGATACAACAATGAGAGCCCTGTCCATGAGCGATAACACCTTCACTGAGGATCGCTGCCATTCATTGTCACCTAGTGACTCAAATGGAGAATGCCCAGCAGAGACAATGATGCCCACTTCTATTGTGCATCACACAGGTAAAACAGAAGTTCCAAAAGTGGAAATCAAAGTCTCTGATAGCATAAAAACCACAGAAATATCAGGTCTTGCTACAATACCAATGCAGGCACTAAGTACTGTTAATTCTAAGCAGAGTGATGGTACAGTGTTACCAAATTTCAGCACCATACAGCAGTTGTTAGGATATAACATGTCCAATCAATTTCCTGCCAGCAAAATGTTATCTGCTGCTGCTCGGGCTCAAATGGCTCAGAAGACCACTGTCTTACCAACAGAACTAAACAGTGTTCAAGTGACTCAACAGTTGCTGTCATCATTTCAGAAGACTTTTATGGACAAACCTGGAGCCAGTGTTGGCCTTGTAGCAAGTGAACAAGAAGCCCTCAAACTTCTTGCTCAGAATGCAACACTGGTCTCTTCAACCATGTCAGACATTCTACCAGTGTCTCATCATAGCAGCTCAAGTGCTGGAGGTTTGAAGATCTCAGCAAGTGCAAATCCCACATTATCTGTGGATTCTCAAATCCCGAGTGTCATGTTGCAATCAGGATCTCAACCACAAATCAGCACTGCAATATCAAATGTTCTCACTGTTTTAAATAATACCCAGCAAACACCACAGCAGATCCTAAGTTCCCATAATGCACCAATACTAAGCACCCAGACTACACCTATTGTATCAACACAAATGGTCTCTCAACCACTTGCAGTATGTAGTACCCAGTCAGTTCAAATTACAGGATCACAATCAACTATGGTCCACACTCAAACTGCCCAGATCGCAGGAACACAACAAACCCCAATAATTTACACTCAAGCCAATTCCATTCTAACCACACAAACAACTCCCATCATACACACACAAACTACACCAATTATCAACACACAGGCAACTCCAATAATGAACACTCAAAATTCTCAATTTTTGTCTGCTGTTGGAAATATTAATCAAAATGCTGTTATGTTTCCAAATCCAGCTTTGAACTGTGCACAGAATAACTCTGTGTTTAACCCAGTGATGAACTCCTCCTCTCTGATGATGCCAGGGAACCTTACTTATACACCAGATCAATGCATGCCTGCTAACTTTAACCTTGGGGGAGTTGGGAACCAACAGATTGTGGGAAATAACTCCAATGTTTGCATCAAACCCTTGGGACAGTTCATCAATATGGACACAAACCAGATCAAGCAAGCATTACCAACCCAGTCCTGTGATCTCACCCAGAGCAATCTGCCATCAGGATTACCAACCACTCCAGGTCAACTGTTGGTCTTACCAAATCTTCAAATGCCATTGGTCCAAGTGTTTGGCAGTGGCCAGAAAAATGGAGCACCTGACATTAATTCTCTTCTATCACAGCTTCAGACAAATTTGGCACCTATGTTTAATGCACAACAAGTTTGGAACAATCTAACGACAGGCAGCAACTTGACAGCTATGCAGCTGCAAACTCTGCAACTGCAGCAACAGCTTCTGCAACAGATTCAACAGCTCCAGGGTATGCAGTCTCTAATTAGCCAGTTTAATGCCGGTGATATGACTAAGGTTCCAGCCCAGTTCCCTATGGAAGTGGACAGGAAAGACAGCAATGCTTTGTCCATGGTTACTATGGTGAATGATGTTTCCACAACAACAGAGTCACCTCCTTTGCAGAGTCAAGAAAATGATGAAGAGTCTAACATGGAGGTAGGTTCAGAGGTCACTAGTACACATGTTGGAAATGCCGAATCTCAAAATGTGGATAGTACGGAAGGAGATGAATCTCAGAATCCAGATATGGAGGACAAGAGTACACACATCCAGATGGATATGGATTCTGGAACATCACCAGAGAAAGAGTTGGATAAGGATCAGGAGACACCAGAAACTGTGATGGTAATAGATGACTACACAGAGAGTACGGATACTCCTTATTCCAATACAGAGCAGGAAAATTGCAGTGTTACCCAGGGGTTGTCTGAAGAATATGAAGAAAATTCTTCCCAAGAGTATGCTGATGAAAGTGATTCAAAAATTCAGAGTAGCACACAAACAAAAATGGAGATAATTCAATCAAAAGAAATAGGTTGTGACACTAGCTCAGTTAGAGAGTCTTTCAGTAAAGAAAGAATTCAACACAACAAAAATGAGGGTAATGCAGAGGCAGAAAGTACGTTGGAGAAGAAAAGTGACGTAGACACTGAGAAAAAGACCATAAGTACACAGGAAGAGAAGAGTAACACTAGTAATGACTATATGTGTGTTCCAGACTCCAGCCAAGCTGGAGAAAACATCAGCAAGCAGTCTTTTGTTCCTCCTTTGGTGACAAGCAGTACAAAACATTCCAAAAACACAGCAGAGTCCACCTCAGAGACACCAGCAAGCAAACAAGAAGGTAATGAAATGTTTTTGTACACTAAATCTTGCTTATTAATATAGTGAATAAAATTCTTGTAATCATATTTTGTCATCAAATTTGCCCAGTAATGAAATATCAATTGTGTATGATAAAGGAATTTTACCATATATTCAAAAATTTAATTTATGAGAGAATTGCATGACAAAACAGAATTTTCTCAGTGATTTGATGTTGTTCTGCAGAGGATTCCAACATATCTAAAGGTGTTAATGGAGGGGTAACTTTTATTGAAGGAGACCTGATTTGGGGTCAGATCAGGGGTTTTCCTTCTTGGCCTGGTAAAGTGGTACCACCTTGTGAGGTCATAGACCCAGAACCATTGGAAATGGGAAAGGTAAGATGTTTCAAAGTACCGGTATTCAAATATCGTGAATGTTTTTAGAGAAGTTAACTTAGTTCTACGTGCAGATAAAATAAATATTGATGTTCTGGTATATGTCAACGTCTGCAGTCCCAGCGATGTTTTTTATATAACGATTTGTAAAAACTTGGATATGTCAACTACCCTGCTTATCTTGATGTATATTCACAGTCCCAAGAGCAAAATTTACTTGGTTCATGTTGAGTCGTTGACCTCAGGATTTTTTGTTCTGCTAAACATAAATGTTTGCCAGATTGTTATTTGTTGCATACGGAATGACCCCGTGTATCTCGACATGGAAGGAAAATCACACCTTACTATCTCCATGTTTTGACTGCACACTCATCAGTTCTAAAATGACTTTGTAAATGAATCCCAAGTACCCTCAGATGTTGATGATATTTTGATTGCTTGACAGCTCCGGTAATATCCTTGATAGATACACATGTACAGATCTTTATTTTTATTGAAACCTGTGATATAGTTAATTTGAAAAAGGAAACCAATTTACTATTAATAAAAATTACATAGAATTCATGTAAGAGATTAAAAGATTAATTTTCTGATATTTTGTGTATTCAGTGGGTAACAATCCACTCGGCGACACATTCCAATGGGGGTTCACTGAAACAACAGATTCATATATATGTAACATCACTGCATCAGGTCAAGTACACAAATGTTTTGAGTTTTGCTTTGTGAGTTTTCTTTCTGATAGTAAATAAGAAAAACAAGAAAAAAAGGTATTCTTTTATATCTCTGTGGTGCCGACTTCAAAGTTTTAACAGCACACTGTATATCCTGTCGTGACTAAAAGATATGGAATGCCCCGATGGAAAACATATAGTAAATTTAGAAAGCTTTTGATATTGAGAAAGAACACCTTTTATCATTAAGATATTTTTGTAATGACTTCTTATAGGTATTGTAAATAAGTGAACAAAAAGAGGCATTTAAGGAATCACTGTCTAGTTAGTAGAGTATGCTGGGGCATCAACGATAGTTGGAAATGTGGGATAATTTGCATAAAGGGCGAAGTTCGTTATGCATAAATTATCCCACGTTTCCAACTATCGTTGATGTCCCTGGCATACTCTACTAACTAGACAGTGATTCCTTATATTTCCATTTCATTGTGAAATAAAATTGTAAATTTAGATTTTAAAAATGTAGACTAATAGATTTAAATTACACGAGGCCTCACATGTCAATTTCAATAGTCCCCGCCCACTGACGTCAAACACAAAGGCAGCCGCACGAGAATTACATGCATATTGGGCCTTCTTAGTTCCTGACCTTTTGCTTGGCAAAATTTGCACTCCGGTAGAATGATCAAGAAATCAACTAACTTTCAAAGAGTTATCACAGAGAAAACAAATAGAAATGGAAATATTACTGAAAATAGGATAAAGTACTGATTATTGACTTCATATAAGTAATAAACTTTAGTTAATGACTTGTCGTTGTTTTCAATGCAATGGAATCTTGGATGTTGGGTCTGAACTCTGATATCTCAACACCCCGGATATCTCAACATTTTCCAGTGGTCCCACCGACATCAAGATACTGAAGTTTACCTGTATATTAAATGTATAAAATATCCTTTAAATTTATGTAAAAGGTCAAGTTCCAAAGGTCATGAGGTATATTTTAGGAATGACTCTAATTCTTGGCCAAATTATTCGAGTATAACCTGGTTTGGGTCAGTTTACGCTGTTTTATAATCCGCGAGTATAACCTGGTTTGAGTCAGTTTACGCTTTATAATCCGCGAAGCGGATTACAAAACAGCGTAAACTGACCCAAACCAGGTTATACTCGAATAATTTGGCCAAGAATTAGAGTCATTCCTTATAATTTAATTCTAAAATCATTAAAAAACTGTGGGTGTAAAATTTCGTTGCTTTTTATTAGTTCAAATTTGCCGCTCAATAATACAACCCTAGTAACGGAAGTGATGGGAAGCGAGGGGAGGTAAAAACTGATACATAGTCCTAGCAGCCATGTTGTTTGTTTACATGTGGTAAGAAGTTACTGTTTGAAGTTAAAGGTACATTTATTAAATCTGGAATTTTCCATGAATCCCGAGGACTGGAAATGAGAGGATTGCATGGATACAGACGATTCAGCTGGTTGTCAGGGGGGTGTGTCCCCATACCAAACCAGGTTATACAGAAATAATTTGTGTTCCTTTCTGGATATTAACCAATCAGAGGCTAGAATACAAACAAAATTAAATTATATCCAGTTATTTGCGGCAAGCAGTACACATGCAATATATCAAATTCCTATCTTACACAAAAGTTACAGGGTATGACAGACAGACAGACAGACAAAAGAGTAGTGATTCCTTTTTAGTGACTGCTTAGCAGGTGGCACAAAAAGTTCACTTAAATATGTTTTGAACTTTTAGAATTACAAGACAAACAATTTTTGTTGAATGCATGTTCCTCATCAAAAACTGTTGGCAAAGGTAAACATGGTAAAGAAATTTACTTTAAAATGCATTCATCAACATCAAATTTAGTAGGAGGTAGTGTCTGGTGTCCTTCAGGACTAATGTATTCAGCATGTTGCAGCAAGATTTTGTTTTCTCTTTATTCATTCTAATGTGATCTGTCAAAGTGAAAATTCATTTCATGAATTTATAGCAATCGCCTGCTCATTAAACATTTTTATGTCCTTACTGAATGATGTATTCTTTAAATAGGAGTTTTAATTTGTAAATTAAGTTTAAAAATAAAATTGTTGACTGTGATGATGCCTAATTAAAATTTTCAGGTTTTTATTGCTTTCTTTTTATTACAGAAAGATAATGAAAATGTATGGCTGTGTAATAATGTTTATTTGAATATCATTGTGTCCTATATTGGCTGTCCTTGTCTACAAATCTATTTCCTTATTTTTAATTTAAAGTCAAGGCTCATCCTTTCTCTCTCTCCCCCCCCCCCCCCTTGTCTTTCACTTTTGGATTGAAGTTGAATGTCACCACTTTCTAATTGTAATTTAAGAAGTTTGTATATTTTTTATGCATGTATAAACTATTTGCATTTATGATGTACTTGAAATATGAGTGTGTTTTACAGATTTGGGTGAAGTGGTATGGTGACCACACCTTTACCCAGGTGGAACAGGACAAACTGAAATCTCTGGAGAATGGGCTGAAGGCCCATCAAAGGCAGAAAAACAGGAAGTAAGAGATGTTATATGCATGATCATTTATTATCTTCAAGTAGCAAAGAAGTAAGGCAGTATAGTAACTGACCTGTATGTGCTCCATGCTTATGTTCCTGTGTACATGTACTTGCTTGCTTGCTTCATAAAAGTGTTTTTGGTCAGAATATAAAGAGTACCATTGACTTTTTTTGTTTTATAAAATTTATGCTAGCTAGAAAAAGTACTTTAGAGCATTCTGGTTAATGTTCAAATGGAAAAGTACATGAAGTTTCAAAGAAATTATGTAAAGGATATTCAAGAAATAAAACAACTTTTTACTTGCTTGTCTATTTATTACTATGTCATTGCATGTTTTGTGTATTGTTTAAGGGGGAGGAAGATGAATTCAAATCTAGAGGCCGCAATACAAGAGGCATTGGCAGATTTAGGTCAAATTACCGACAGCAACATCAACAGCAAGGGAAAGACGAGCAAGAAAAAACGAGTGAGGTAGCAGAAATGAAAAAGAATGGGGGATGTCAGCTGTTATGTGTTAGAGTTATAATGTAAAGAAAACCTAATGTGAATTTAGGTGCAGGAAGAATAATCAAGAAACTGATTGTTTAAAATTGAGATACAAGTATGGTTTATAGAACTTTTTTTTTCTAATTGTGGTATTTTGCAATCATAATTTTGTATTGATTTCGTAAATTCAGAAAACCAGGAATAGCAAGTTCATTGACACCTTACTTTCACTTTTAAGGGGAATAACCTTGAAGAGAAAAAAGTGAGGTAAATGTGAAATTTATTTTAAAAAAATACCACAAATGCAAACAGTAATGTGAGCATTTTTTTTGTTTACTCAGATCATTAATTGATCATTGATAAAAGCCCTTCATCTATGCATATAGTTAGTTCATGTACAGATAATGTACTGATGCCAAAAAATGATATGAGAAATGTCTGTTTTGATGACATTCTTGAAGTAATGCATAATACATTATGTACTCTACATAAATCTTGTTTCTTACTTGCATATCATCTTTGTACTGTACTCTTATTTCCAACCAAACAAATATCAAAAATATTTTTTTTTTCAAATTGTGAAGAGATTCAAGATTGAATTACTGAAATGAATTTATAGAAATATTTTGATGTCAATTGACATGATACAAAATATATAATTAGTTATCATGTCTCAAACTTTTAATTGTCAACTGGGAATGTTTTTGCTTTTGGATATTTATAAATATTTCTGATTTTTGATTGGCTGGAGGAATAATAGATCTGGGAATTACTAGGTCCTTGCAGACCATTGGCTGTGATATGTCTATGAAAATGGCTATGTACAGATAAATTTGATAATGATATATATTACATATATACTAGTATCATAATAAGGTGTGGTGTACAGCAAGTGCTTTCTATGCCCCTATCTCAATGATTTGGGGTCGTAGCCCTGGCCTGTCTGTTTCTATATTCCCAGTTTACAAGGGACATAACTGTTGAATTATTTAAGAGCTCATAGGTCAATGTTAAAAAATGAAGTCTATTTGGAATTGTCAAGAACCAAAAATGATAATTTTCACAATATGTTTTTCATGTTTTCAATCATTATATTCTTGCTTTGAATTTAACATTTTTAAAACTATATTTGGTATTGAGGGTTACAGTAATTACATATAGTTGCAGAAAATACATATATAGGATAGCATTTACAATGGAAGTATTTTTCTATGGAAAATACAATTCCTAAATGATATACTTAAATGTTCATCAAAATTATTCCATTATACATTGTAAATAATTTTTGTACAGCATTTAATTGTAGGAAACCCTTTATTGTTATTCATTAGCACCATATCTTCAGTGCGACCTTCTATGTGCCATGCTTGATATATATATATATAATACATGTGTTGTATAAAGTACTTATATTTACATTATACACAGGAGCCTTGTGTTGATCATAGGGTATATTGTAATGACAATTTCTGATGACATTTTATATTTCTGTTTACTCCTTTGCTGTCCTGTTGTTTTGGTTGAAGGCTATTGGTATTTTTGGAAAGAATAAACTCTCCTTGAGTTGGTTATTTTTGATAGATAAATTGCTCTCTAATTTATTTGTTATATGTAACAGTTACTGTGGTACTGTCTTTTGTTTTAATGACTTTCAAAACAAACACCCATTAGTTGAAACTACAGCAAAATTGATCATTTTTAGCTTATAACTCTACATATACATGTTTATGTAGATGTTTGTGTAAAGTTTAAACATTATATGTGATAACTTTTTTTTTTTTAAAGAAAATCATTTTAGGACTTTAGATTTTTTTCTGCATCAAATGCAGTTCATACTATATTTAAGGAAATTGTTTGTGTACAGTAGCTGTCAGGTACATTTCATTTCTCATTATACAGTGTACATGTGTGCAATGTGTTTCATATGAATCGTTTCTTTATTTTTGAATACAGATATTTAGATGGAATTTTCATAACCTTTTCTTTTCTTACATTCAATTTTTAAACGTTCACAAGATTAGATAGACTTTATTTCTAACAAGTAGAAAAAGCATTATTTTTTTTTTATTTCAGCAAAATCTCATGTTTTTTCATTTAGTGCATTTTAATGATAAGCAAAAGTCTTAATGGCAATGTTGTAGAGATATATGTTGCGACTTTAAGCTTTTCTTGTTTTTATTTGCTTTGTTTGTTGAGTCCTGTGTTAGCAGGTAACGAGTGCTCATTTCTGTTATGTTTTACACACAAATAAAAGTATCTCAGGAATGTCCCATCAGATTGAAAAAAAAAATTGTTGACAGTTGCTATGGTTACCACATGTTGATGGTGGGTTTGATTCCTAGATCTGTTTTTTGTGTAGCAGAGGAAAATAAGTGCTTACTATTGTTATTATTATAGGTAACAATGTTAAAGAAATGTACATTTTAAGGTTTGTGCAAATTTTACTTTTTAGCATATTAAAATCATAATATATTGCTGTTGTGTAATCCTAGTTTCTTTATTGGAATGTGTATATTCCTTGGTTGTGTGGCGGTCAGACGGGTTTGATCGCTGGTCGCCAGATAGCTCAGTTGGTAGAGCACCTGACTGGAGATTCAGGGGGCCCAGGTTTGAATCCCGGTCTGGTCCGCTGCATTTTTCTCCTCTCCCGTTACATTTGGTGCCGTGCCATGCCCTGGAAGTGAAAGGTGAGGGCCTGCCAGGGATGAGCCTGGTTTGGAGTCTTTGGGGGGGGGGGGGCAAAGACCATTAAGGAGGGAGGAATGTGGAGGTCAGACGGGTTCAATCGCATGTGGCCAGATAGCTCCGTTGGTAGAGCACCTGACTGGAGATTCAGGGGGCCCGGGTTTGAATCCCTGTCTGGTCTGCTGCATTTTTCTCCTCTCCCGTTACAGTTGTCTTTCCAGAAAATATCAGGAAAAGGTGAGAGGAGTTTGAAACCAAAATGTATACTTTGTAAACAGTTGGGAATTTTTGTCATTCTGCTACATGTGTTTACATGTACAGTCTAATGTACTCGCCTGACTCTGGCTTTGTTTTGCCTACATCTCCCACAGCATAGGGGAACAAGTGTCTTATAGTGACCTCCACTTGTTTGCTTGTTCTTCTTTATGCTAAAAAAAGTTTGTTTTTTTTTATTATGGGGAGATGACATAAGGCCTAATGGGTAGATTATAAAGTACATGCAATACACTGTGAAATAGTGGAATATGTAAAAATATTCAAATGTATATTTTTACTTTCATGGATGTCTTACCTTTGATGTATTTCTTTTCAGAGCTATTATTAGTAACCATATGTAATCACAGATCATTATTCTAGCATTAATGATTATGGGGAAAAAACATGTGATGCGCAGAGTATCATTAAACTGTTAAAAACTTCCCACATACTTTTAGGGGGGCAGGATGATTTATTTCTTAAATATCAATTGAATTAATTTTATTTATCAGATTGGGTAAACATTGGGTTTTCTTTCTAATAAGATATATGTCAACTATCTGTTAGATACGGAACTGTGGGTTAATCAGAAATGAAGGGAACTGATAAATTGAAACATTAATAATGTTCATTTGGAAGAGTGGCACCAGAATCTTAATGTAGATCTGTGATGAATCACATGGCCAATTAGACAGAATACTTATTGATGTCCAGATAGGAAATATGGTTGAAATATCAATTATTATTATGAACGTCTGGTCGGGAGAGGATGGTATTGCTTCCATGATTCAAAGTTATTTCTGCTGGAGTAAATAGTAATGGTAATAATTGAGGGTCGTTGAGAGGAGGAATGGGGTGGGGTGGGGGATGTCTGTAAGTCTATGTGAAATTTGAAAGATATTTTGAGGGAGCCGACTAGGTTTTTTTTTAGGTCACCTGAGTCACTCGGGTGACCTATTGCTATCTGTTTTTGTCTGTCGTCGTGCGTCGTGTGTTAACATTTGAACAATTTCAGCCAATTTTAGCATAGGGCATCTATGTGTAAAGGGGAACAAAATTTGTTAATTTCATGGTCCCTGCCCCCCTGGGGCCTGAGGGGTGGGGCTAAAACCACCAATATTAATGCAATCTTTAAAAATCTTCTTCTTTACTCCTGGAAACTGTTGGCATGATTGTAATAAGCATTGAGCCCTATACCAAAATTGTGAAATTCATGGCCCCTGGGTCAGGGGTTCTGGTGCTAGGGTGGGGCTATATAGATCATATAGTGAAAGTGCATTATTTTTTTTTGAAAATCTTCTTCTCTACTCCTGGGTATTATTTAAACAAATTGAATGCATCATTATGATAAGCAAGGGTGACTCAACCAAAATTGTGAAATTCATGGCCCCAGTGACAGGAGTTCTGGTGCTAGGGTGGGGCTATATAGATCCTATAGTGAAGGTGAATTATTTCTTTGACCACTTCTCTGCCCCTGGGTATTATTTACACAAACTAAGTACATTGGTATGATATGCAAGGATGCCTCTTCCAAACTGTGAATTTCTTGGCCCCAGGGTCAGGGGTTCTGGTGAAAGGGGGGGGGGGGGGCTCTATTGATTATATAGTGAAAAAGCAAAAATATTTTTTTCTGCTTCTGGTTAAAAAGCAAAGAAGCTAAGTGTATAGTTATGATGAGCAAGCATGCTTCTTCAAGAGTAGTGAATTGCATGACCCCTGGGTCAGATGTGCTGGTGTAAGAGTGGGTTTTTTTGATAATATAGTGAAAATGCATTAATTCTATTAAATAATCCTGTCTGCCCTTTAGTGTTAAGCAGATAAACAAAGTGATTACTTATGATGAGGAAACTTATGGTCCCAGGGTGAGAGGCTCTGGTGTTTCTCGATGGGGAGGGGGGCTCTATTGATAGTATAGTGAATCTGTAGTAAAAATGCATTATTTCTTTAAAAATCTTCTCTGCACCTGGGCATATCAGAAGCAAAAAGAGTAAAAGTTTTTATAAGGAAGGGTATTTTTACCAGATTTTTGAACATCTGGACCATTTGGTCAAGTGTTCTGGTCCTGGCTAGGGCTCTATTAATTTGTAATCTACTGAGAGGAGTTATTCCCCTTGCCATTTACTTTTGATAATTTTAAAATCACTGTAAATAATGTACTTGAAAGGTTAATAGAATAAGAGAATTATGCAAGAATTCTTATTGTATAATACAGAAAGTACTTTCATAGTTTTAATGATCAGGTAGACTTGTAAGTAATAGATAAATACAAATGAGACAAAAATAAATTGTCTTATTAAATGTTCCTAAAAGACCAAGAGAAGCCAATGTAAGAGAATTCAACAAGGAATTAAGATAGTACAGAAGCACTGATAGTTTGTTAATATACTGTATGGTGATAGTGATAAATGGGGAAAAGATTTGAACCTAATTTATGAACTGTTAATGAATGCTCATCTTCGCTAGCCAAGGATTTCTGATACGCTACTCTCCTCATAAGCTTATGAGGAGAGTAGCGTATCAGAAACCCTTGGCTAGCGAAGATGATGAATGCTAGACTAATTATTTTGTTGATCCTGATCACCCTATTTTTCTTGCTTTTGAGCAACAAAGCTTCACCTTTCAGTTCATTTTATACTCTACGTATGGATCCTCTAAATAGTTGTATTATACTCAGGTGACCGTTAAGGCCTTTGGGCCTCTTGTTTTTTTGTAAAACTGTTATAGAAAAATAAATTATTTTTATGCCATGTGTAGTCTACACTGAATCCAGTGTAAATGCAAAGTTTCAGGAAAATCTATCTTATGGGTATTTAAGGGACCATATCCAAACATTCCGAATTTATATATATATATATATATATATATATATATATATATATATATATATATATATATATATATATATATATATATATATATGTACAGCTACATTCACTATACGATTGAATTGGAAAATGCTTTTTTGCCTCTTTAAAGCAAATTATAAATACGTTACGATAGACTTTTTGCTCAAAGTATAATATATGATGATAATACTTTATTGTGGATTATTTGTAAGAAACACAAAATCCTAAAGTTTGCATGGTATTTTTTAGAGGCGCATCTCAAAATTAGCAAAATTTTCCTGTTTTTGTGGAGGACAACGGCATTTAACAGATAGGCCCTACTACAGACCCTAAAACGTGCTACTACACCTCAGAAACGAACCGTACCGTTCCGTACAAGAAGCGTACCGTACCGTGCAAGAAGCGTACCGTACCGTGCACAAAGCGAACCGTACCGTACACAAAACGAATCGTACCGTGCAAGAAGCGTACCGTACCGTGCACAAAGCGAACCGTACCGTACACAAAACGAACCGTACCGTGCAAGAAGCGTACCGTACCGTACACAAAGCGAACCGTACCGTTCATGAATAATTTTTGAAATAATTATGCAAGCCACGCCCCGAAAGCATTCCGAATCTTGCAATGACCGAATACAGTAAGTAATTTTCTTTTATTTCTTTCGACGCAGCGCCAGTTCAAGAAGGACAGAAAATTACCCTAGAGATTCAAAATATTATTATTAAGTACCATGCATCTGGACTAACATCTGTTAATATAAGGAAAGTAGTTACGACTTCAAAACAACTCGACAGAGTGTGAGGCGATTCCTTATTCGCTATGCATGATCGGGATATGCTTGACTAACATTTTTTTCCGTATTAAATGCAGCATCGTAATATTTTCGTGTACAATTTATAATAAATAAAAGTGAATTAAAAAATTACGAACTAAATTATCAATTTGAAAGCGAACATGTTAAAATGTAAACGCCTCTCAATCACCAGAAAAAATAAATAAAAGCGATGTATATATAAATAATATGTGTCGGTTTACACTCTTCTGACCAACTCAAGATGTTATCGCCAATATAACATACTGTCAAAAAGTTCGATCGCCACATTTTCACATGGAATTTTCAGTTTAATACACGTAATCCAAAAAAAAAAACAAAACAAAACAAAAAAAAAAAAAAAAAAAAAATCTGGATATATGTCAGAATTAATTTTTATTTAAAACATTTTCCCATTTCATTTGCTTTATTCACTGAAATCTGCAGGTAAAATATGTAACCTGGAATTTACACAAAAAGCCCAGTTTAATTTAAAAAAAAAATACTTAGTCCGTGCATGCGTGTTCATCCAAGATTTTTTTTAAAGAAATACTGTACATTTCTTGCCATGGTCTCGTTATCTAGACTGACGTCTTTCTATACTTTCGTTATTTACTCTAAAACATTTGAAAATTTCGATCAAGTATTGTCTTCACACGTGCACAGGTAAAAACTTGAGCTGTGTATATTGAACCGTATCTAATCCCGTTAGTCCAGATATGCTTACATTCACACGTGTATCAACAGTTTGCTGTCTTTAACAGTAAGTCTACAACAACGAATCAGTTTTAATCAGCAGATTTAAACAGAATTTCATGTGCAGTCAGCTTTTCTTCTAGATCTTCAATAAAAAAGCGAGTTTGACAAGGAAACAAAGAAG